GACACCACTGTGGCTTCGGCAACTCAGAAGTTAATCTTGATATGAATTGCAAAGCCCAATTTTGATTTTCCTGATGGAAAATTCCTCCGAGATTGATCTTTTCCTGCAGAAAAATGTGGATTTCAATGAAATCCTCATTTCTTATGGGACAACGTGTGTTTCAGCTGAAATATTTTAACTGACCCACCATTAAGAATGTAGTCTGGAGCATAGAGTAGGAGCTGTGGAGTGAGGAGTGATGGGTTTTACAGCTGGGTCCTCAACTCACTCTGTGGAAGGTCCTTCCTTTTTGCATCACGCCTTCTTCTATCTCTCTGGGGCCATGTCGACACTAGGAAACTATTTAGAAATTAGTAAATTCAACTTAGTAACTCCCAATTTAACAAATTAGAAGCCTCGAAATTAGCCTGAGGCAGGCTCTTTTAATGTGGAAGTTACAGAAAGCACTGGGGTGTAAATAGTTCAAATTACTCCAGGGAGAAGTTATACAGAAAGCACTGGGGTGTAATTAGTTCAAATTACTCCAGGGAGAAGTTATTTCGAAATAGTGGCACTGGCGCATCCACACTACCATTCTTTCAAAATAACTATTTTGGAATTAGTGTTACTCCTGATGAAAAGCAGGAGTTCAGATTTCAAATTAAGTGGCCTGTTATTTCAAAATAATGGGCTTGGTAATGGATGCTCTGCTTATAAATTTGACTGAAGAAGGGATATTTTGAAATAAAGTCCTACTGTAGACCAGAACACATACCTACCACCAAGAGGTGTGGTGAGTCTCAGTGTTTGTAAAGTGCTTTGCTCTCCTGGTACAAAAGGGGCTAGATAAATGCAAAATATTATGATTATTTATCCTGTGAACAATCAGAGTCCATAGCATTTTAATTCCCTCGGGAAACACATGCTTGCTTAAAACTCAACCCGCCTTCCATTGCACACAGTTCCATGGCCACAGCCTGACTCCTGCTTAGGCTTTTAAGAACAAGTTAGACAAACCTCTGCCAAGGGTGGTCAATGTTTACTTGGCCCTGCCTCAGAACAAGGAGCTTGACTAGATGACCTCGCGTGGTCTCGTCCACCTCTCCAATTTTACGATTCCGTGACTCTCGCTGTGTCCACTGGTCAGGCAAGACTTGGGAACCCAGAGTGAAATGGTGATTAGAATGGTCAGTCAAACAGCAGACCATGTTCATCTGGCTGAAGAGCTCTCATAGACAGGATAGGGAGACAGCCTTGCTATTGACCCTACAGACCCAACCCGGTAGAACTCCTTCCCACTCCACTCCACTCCACTCCACTCCACTCAGTCTTCATTGACCCAGTGGTTGGGAGTCACAGAAGGGCAAGATCCCTGTTGAGTCACACAAAGATTTGGGAAGTGATTTGCATCAATTTCGCTGTCCCCCTCACCTTGTTTCTATCTACACACCAAAGAACTCCACAACACCCCTCCCCCAAAAGACTTGGACCTTTTCCACCCTTCTTCTCACTTGGACCCTCAGGTCATCTCGAGTTGGTTGCCCTCACGAGTCTATATGGCCCTCTGGCTTCAACAGCAAAGCTTGTCATTTCCTTGCATTACAGCTGTTCAGCTTACTAGACTGCCTGATATCACTGCCAAAATTTTAATTCTTTTGTCCCAATACTTAGCATATCAGTGGCTGCTGGATATCTATACCTCGCTCATCGTTAACATCCCACCTTAAAATGTAACCAGATCATCCACCATTTCAAACATCTTAACTCCCTTCCTTTAACTGCATTTTTTCCTAAGCAAAGTATGTCCTGTGCAATGAGGCCTATCTACAAGCCAAGTTGCACATCTCAGAAGCCAACTATTATTTTATTCAGGAAATAAAGCCACAAGCCCATCTTAACAGAAAATACGTATGTCTTGCAATGTTTGCATCCACTCATGGATGAATGGAATTGGATCACTTAAAAAAAATCTTTTCATTTACAGCCTTTGGGCTAAATTATGAGGTTTTAGTCTATCATTTTTTCATATTTGATAAGGAGAAATCTTAATGATAAGGGACTGCTAAGAACTGTATGATACCCATCTCTTTAAACCCAGCCAATCAGCTGATTCGAAGTCTGAAATGTTCTTACTAGTCCCCGATCACAGGGAGATCTCTGGGAAAAGAAGGTGAGAAACTAATAGGCTGTATGGTCCATGGGGTTGCTTTGTAAATTCCTATGGGCTTGATGGATGAAAAGTGCTTTATAAGAGCAAATAAATTTGTTACTATTTATTAATTCATTTTACTTCTCTCCAACTCAACTCAAAGCAATTCTGTGTAGGGGCCCTGGCCAAAACCCACTGAAGTAGACCATTTCTTTTGCGTTAATTTGATCTGCTGTAGGGTTGTTTTACAAATCATATTTTAATTAGCCCACTTCAGTCTCTGGTTTTTGATTATGAAATACCCTGTAGACTACGGTGGGGAGGCATCGCCTTCAACCTCTAAGAAGGGGCAGTGGTGGAAGAGTGTCTGGGTAACTCGGTCAAAAAGAATTGAGGAGTCATCTCCCCTTGGTGTGGTCTACCCACCATCGAATGAGAACTAAGTTCAAGAGAGTTACATGGCAAGTATTAGTGGTGATCAGGGCCAACCCGAGCCATTTTGGCACACTGGGCCCAGGCGCGTGGCACCGCCCTGGGCGCATGGCGCATGAACGGGCCTGCCCACCAGCGTGCATGGTGCATGTACTGCCCCGCCCAGCCTGGCCACCGCTGCTGGCGTGCAACCCAGGGTGGGCCGCGCCTGGCCGTGCAGAGCCCTGTGGCTGTGGGGGGAAGGGCGCTGCTGGCGGGCGCCATGGGAATGGGGGGAGCCAGCGCTGCAGGAGCATCCCTTACAGTTGCCATCAGGCGCCCCCCATCGGTTGGTGCCCTGGGCAGCTGCCCAGCTCACCCACCCCAGCCCTGGTGGTGATGGCCATATAGACTGGTGAGGCCAGTTTACTTTGTAAACTAGTGGTTAGCAATGCACACTAGCTAATTCCCAAGGGCTTTAGGCACCTCACAAGCTTTGAGGATCTGGGCCTAAATTCCTAGAATGAGAGACAAGGAGATAGTGCGGTTCCTGTGGACGCCTTTTAGTTAGAAGAGAGGATGCAGCCAATGTTACCACTAATTTTTCCACTCAAGGGCAGAATAAAGTTTATGTGCACCGATACATATGCAAATGTGCACCACAAATAGAAACACATGCTTGTGTACATGTGCAAATGTGCACCACAAATAGAAACACATGCTTGTGAGCTGTGGGTGCTCTGCTAATCAGATAGGTGTCAGCTAAATCTCTCCTGAGTGGCCACTTAAGAGCTTTGTTTACAGGGAACACCAGTTACATCTTCTCTGAGTTTAATAGGACCACTAGGTCTATGTAATTCTGGCTTCTGTGGTCCTTACTCTAACTCCGCTCCTTTCAGCTCTGCCCTCTAAAGTAGCCTTTGCAGGAGGAACACCGTGGAATGCCTGTAGGCCTGAATGCCTGTGAGTTGTAAACAACTTTCCAATGGGATTCTTACAGTCTGTAGATGAGAGGGAGGGTGTTTTTCATCAAACCCTGGCATCAATTTTTTGAATTCTGAATAATAATCAGTAGCCGTTTTCTCCCTCGTTTTTTTTTAACTGCACTGCAGCAATTGTGGACTTGTCTATAACAGAATACAAGTGATTAATCACTGTTCTGGCAAAAACAGGGCAGGAACTGTATTGAAAAGGAGATGGCTTAAATATTTTTCTCATCGATTTTTTTCTTACCTTCTTTGTTTTAGTTTTCTA